AGTAAATGATAATTGAAATAAACTGAAAATTGCACACACCCACACCCACACCCACACCCACACCCACCCACACCCACACTCACACCCATCCTCAATAATGACATCTTGAGTGACTTACAGTATTGAGTTAATTGTTATCAATCATTGAGCACTTTAATATATGTTATTTTTATTGAAAATTTCACCATATATTCTTCCATAATGCATGCTATCTATTGTGATGTGTTTGCAATAAAGTATTCTTTCACTATGAGCATCTAAGAAATAACACGATTTCAAGATTTCTGAAAATATAAGATTATTGTTGATACAAATTGTCTTGTGAATTTTTGAGAACGTTATCTGTGTCACTAAACACTTTGCTAAAGAATGCAGTTCCTGTAATAAAATTGATTGACTAGATTCTTATACAACCTCATGAATGAATATTTCAGTGACTGTGTGCAATTTTCAGTTTATTTCAATTATCATTTACTATATAAGAAAAATAATAAGTAATATTATACAACTAGCTATTTGTGTTTTGTATTCTGATCAAAATACAATACATTGCTTTATGAATCGTCCTTTTTTTTACAGTAATTGATACTGCGCCCAAAGCTGAAGTACCAAATAACACGATGTGCTCCTCCGATGTTGGAAAAATCGTTCTTATTCTTATGGCTGGTGAACATAAAACACAGATTCGAGATGATGAGTCAACAAGAGCCGCACTGACTGATAACACTCAAAATTATCAACAGAGATATATTGTGCTATATGAAGACACCGTTTATCTGCTACGCATCCAATTGGAATGCAACAGACCATTAAGAACATTGCCAGTTGATAACAATTGTAGCCTTCTTCATGATGTTATTGCCTACATCGATTTCAACAATGATGGGAAATTTGACGATACAGAATATGCAGCTACCTATCGCTGGCCACTCACTATCTATTTCCCAAAAGGCATCTATGATCTACAAATATATGTACCGGTAATTGATAAAACAAAGATTAAAAGTGGACCACATGTGTTACGTCTCGAAGTAATGTTACATGAACAATATCGTCAAATATGTGGCAAGAACTACTATAAAGAGACGCGGGAATATAATGTCACTATTATTCGAAATACGAATGAATTAGGTAAATACTTTTTTCTACTAAGCACAATGAATTTTATGAGTATGATTTAACTTTTCCTATTATGATCAATTTTATTGATATTAAATGATGATTTCAACTTGAAGTAATGCTTCGCTGCTGTCACGAATACGGATATTTAAGAAAAAGTCTATAGAGAGTATATTCTTGTATTAAGGTCCCTTGGATGTCGAAAAATAGTATTTTATAATTACCAACCATATTATGTAAAATGTTGAAAGAAAACCGTAATTTTATGCAAAAGTTAAGTATTCAAGCAGAACTTCGGCAATCTTTTCCCTCTAGATATAGAAACTAATATATTTCTTTGAAAGAGAAAATTATACAGATTAACTGTTGATGAAATTCGTCAGTAATCTAATTATAATCGTTGGATTTTAGAAAATAAAAAAGCTTATAATAAATTCTCTATTAAATGTTTCTGATACACTATTCATGGTCATATACAGAAATATGTTAAAAAACAAAAGAATATCTCATTTTAGAGTGAAGATGATATGTCCTGAAAAAGTTTCTTCTCAGAACTAAAATCACTTTGAGTAGAGAAAATAAATTTATTTGTGTTAATATGAACATGATTAAATATAATCAGAAAATTGAACTATACGAATAGTAATATTATGCTAAAATGAAATAAAAGAAAACTACAAGTGATTTTCATTATCTTTTGATGGGAAACAGATTTTCTTAAAAACGAGCTCTGTGTTAGTAAACAACATGTACAATGCTTTAAGACAAATCAGAAATATTTTGTATTTACAGATCAATGAAACGCAACCGAGTTGTTACTAATGATGAACAAAAGTTTAAAGTATCTATGAAATGCTACGTTGCGTTGTATTCTCAATTGAATTTGTAGAGAATATCTACTTTTCTAAATTTTCATTATTAGAGGGAGACAAGTTCAGTTTTAGTTCCGAACTGATAAACTGTTCAAGCCGCTCACTAACACGAACTGAACTATTTGAAAAGTTCCTTTGAGTGAACTGAACTTTCTCAACAGTTCTTTTCAAAAGAACCATTTCAGCAGTTCTTTTGTTCATTTGAACGGAGTTCGTGAACCTGAGCTGATAGACCTCTATTCATAATTTCTAGTCGATACCGGTGACCCGTATTTAACACTAAGTGATACAATATGTTCTCAAATAAGCGGCAAAATTGTACTTGTTATGATGGCTGGTGAGCAGGGATCGCAAATTCGAGATAATATACCAATAAATACTGTCTACAGAGAGAATCAAAGTCGACATCATATGACCGCTACCTTATATGAAGAAAGTATCTATCGAATACGTATTCAGTTGGATTGCGATGAACGCTCTGCTAGGGGTTCATTTCAACTCAATTGCAATCTTGCTTATAACGTCAATGTCTTTATTGATCTAAACAATGACGGAATATTCGATGAATCAGAAAGCCGTGTTCCTCATCGTTGGCCGCTACGTAGTACAATGACGACAGGCATTTATGATTTAGAAATTCCTATACCTAGTATCAATGAACGAACGACGAGAAGTGGTTCACATATTATGCGTGTTGTTGTGAAATCAAGTGATGAGTATACAAGAAAATGTGGCAGAATTGACTACAATGAAACAAGAGAATACACAGTCAACATTATTCCGAGGACAACAGCGTCTGATGGAGGTAAAACATTTCACTAATTGCTGATTAGAAGTTTTGGATCAAATAACGAACTTAGTTTTCTTTAACAGTAACAGCAAATCAACTCACGATTATAGTACTTTAGCTTTTTAACTGATCGACATGATTTTGATAGATCCAAAAGTATAAAATTGTAGTCGTTCATTTATAAAACAGCAACGGATCATTTAATGAAAAAACATCATGAAACACTAGAACTTAAAGAAATCTATTTTATATTATTAGTGTTGTCAGGTTTCTTGATAATGAAAAAGAATTTAGGAATGAAAAGAAATAGAATGAGTTTGAAAGAAAATCAACTTCACAGATTTTCTATCAACAAAAAAGGTGTTTCATGAAAAGCACAGATTCTATTCTGACTATATTGGCACAACTAATTAGTATCTGTCTCTCGTACATGATGATTCACTATTTTTTTTTATCATTATAATATGTTCCCTTCTCTTGTTTAGGCAATAGGGTTACATACTGTGTGCCTGGCAACTTTGCCTGTTTATCAGGGAATAATATTATTTGTACGATGAAGTTAATGGGTGAGCAAAATACAGAAATTTTGGATGAAATGAAAAAATGTAATTCAACAAATAATTATAATGATCCAAGCGATATAGTGGTAACATTGTACGACAATTCACGTTATGGTCTTCAAATCAAATTGTGTGATGTCCAACAATCTTTGTACGATAAATCAAAAAAACAAGATCCCTCTGTGTTCCAAACAGAAAAGGATAATGCTCGCTATCTTGGTGTGTGGATAGATTTCAATGACGATGGTATGTTTGATGAACGTACAGAAAGATTAGTTCCCAACAGTTGGTATAGAGAAGATCCTAAAATAACTCGATATAATTTAACTATAACTATTCCAAAAATTGATGGTAAAGATTACTTAAACGGGCAACATCGGATGCGTATTGTTGTTTCACAAGATAAAAGAAATCGTAAACCATGTCAAGCCATTGGTTACGGCGAAGTGAGAGATTACTCAGTACGTATCATACAGAAAGTTGCGTATTGAAACGAGTGACAAACTTATTATTCATTCTGTATTATTTAAGAGTTTTCTAATGTATTTTCTTTCTGCTTATTTTTTAATCAAGAAATAAAACTAACACGTTGCTCCTTGTACGTGGCTTAGCTAAATTATTAAAATCTGGGAGGAGCATTGGAAAACAATGCAGAATGAGGTTCGTTTTATAATCATCGATCGGCATCTCTAGGCCACTCTTTATTTCCAGGAAATTTAAAAACAAGCAGTTCTCAATTTTCGGTGAGAGCAGCTGACAAATCTGCTACCACTTTTACTGAGACTTCTAACGAGCTCACTTTTCTCATCATATAATTATTTTGAAACTCATTAAAGATCATCAGTACGAGTTCCTCTTAATTGCTCGATGGTTGATGGTAACCAATAATCACTATGTTGAAATGTTATTTTCATGCTTTGAAACTCAATAAAAGATTTCTTTCTAATGTCTATCTATTCTAGCCTCAGAAATTATACCATTTTTCTTAGTTGACTCTTGAACAACTTTAGTTAGTCAATAGATTTTATGGAATTAATTATTATTGTGATGATGAACATGAATACTGCATAGATGAGTCAAAGACGTTTTGTCGTTCATGCAAAGAAAAGCGAATCATTTTTCTAATGGGGAGGATTAGAGTTGAATGTGATTTGCCATAATTATTCACGCCCGCACCCCATCCCAGAAAGAAATCGATAAATATTCACAGTAAACGAAATTATATAAACTTATGCATACAATATGTCACCAAAAACAAATAGTGATCTCATGTAACCATTTTTCAGTTTTCAACGCGTTTCTGGGCGTCTAACGTACGACGGCTTGACGCATTCATAAGCGTCTAAAATGCAACATTTCCGGGTGTGCAAACACATTGCAAATAAAGAAGTGGGTGTGCGTGTGCGTGCAGTTTGAAATACACGTCCACACCCACACCCTAAAAGAAGACACAAAGACGAAAAAATGATATCTTGCTTTATTCAAGAGCTACTAATGATCAAACTTAAAACTTAAACGAATTAGAAAAAAAATGGACAGCAAAATTGTATCTTATATCTTTCGAAGAATATTACTAATGAAAGTAACAACCTAAGCGAAATCGAAAGAGACGATAAATGCATAAATTTTCTTCTCTGATGCCTAATATATACTTGCGATTACATCCAGAAAGTAATCTGGGTAAACGGAGCAAATAAGAAAAGTATAGGGTGTGGGTGTATCTTTTTCTTCTTCATTCGCTCACACCTACACCCACATCCAGACATAGGCTCCGTGGGCCGTACCAGCATGGGTTCCATGAATTATATAAGTGTAGGTTCCATTGATCATATGGGTTTGATTTCCAATCATTACGAAAGAAGCCTATGGCTGATGCAGAACAGCGCAGAAAGCAATGATTATTTGGTATATCAGCGTGAGACGCCAAATGTGGAAGAAATTAGTATGATTTTACTTTCCCATTAAGAATATTAAGTAAAATTTTTTTCTTTGGCATTCAATTTGATATACTCTGATTCATGCAGTTAAATAAAATTCAAGAATAAATTGTGGTAGTAATACGTATGAAGACTAAACTTCAAGAGGCAGTCATCCTTCAGATTCGATGACTCGTTCTCAAAAGAATTTCTGAGTATGAGATGAGGGTGAGAGTCTTTTATAAGAAACTAAAAATGCTATAATGAAGTGAATTTTTTTCTAACTCTTTCATATATGCGGCTTGATAGAGCATAAAAAGATAATATTTAATTCGATTTAACCGTTGGTTGACTGAGAATGAACGTAGTATGTCTCATACGAACTGTTTAAAATAGTCTATTCGGAATCAACGTGAAAAATTGTATCAAGCGAATGAAAATTTTCTTACAAAAAATTGACCTTAGAAAGACTACGAGCAAAATTTAAGGAAAACAATACAGGAAAGAGTCCATAGGTTTACATTTCATTGTAAACATACTATATATATACTCATTCAACTTTCTTATTGTATTTCTAACTAAACCATTTGAATATTGCCATTTCGGGATCTTATTTCATTTCATATTTATAAAAGAAATAATTAATTCATATGGAATCTTTTTTATTGTTCATTATTTAAAAAGCTAGGACAAACGAATATATGTTACACAAATATTCCCTTGGTATATATATTTGAATAAAAATTATAAACAGACGATGACTATATTTACTCAAAATAAAATTTAACATTTTATCTATTGAATGTGGAAAACAGTTAATGAATAGATATTTATTTAGTGTTCTTCTTTCAAAACAACATAAAATAAAAACGAATAGTCTTTATATTTATTGATGCTGTAAGATTGAACTTTTCCTCTAAAAAACAGATTATGATTGTCACAAAAAAGTATTTTTTATACCAGTTAATTGTGGATTGTCAGTTAAAGTTAACATTTGATTCATTTCAGAACGAAATATATGCACAGGAGTTCGATTGAGATGATAGCATTGTGAAATAAATTTCTAAAGTTCTCTGCGAAAGATACTACTGATAATATAAACAAATAAAACTAGTTGAATGACTAAAATAAGTCATTCCACCCGATGTTTTATTGGCTAAATTTTCTTGAGCAATTCGAAGTGTATCTTTAACTAAGTTCGTTGTAAATGATGCATAAATTTGATAGATTGTCTGTAGCAAAGTAGTAATAATGATCACAAGTACTTGAGCTACTGACATACATAATAATTGATAATCTGTACGTTGAATAATTGTATTATTTTCGCTTAATACTGAAACAAGTTGACGACGTTTGCGTATATTGTTCATTGTAAGACAACCAAAAAGAATCATTAAACATGATGGAAAAAGTGAATAGAATGTCATATACCAAAATGACATAAATGTACGATAAGCACTATTTTGAAAATTACATGAATATGAAATGGTTCCAAATCTATTCAATGTTTTTTGTATATTCAGATAAACCATCATATGACTGTATAAGATAAGGATTGTAATAATGATACTTGCAATTATTATTTTTGCTGTTTTTAATGAACTGAATCGACGAATATTAGCATTTGCTGAACTATGTAAATATCTATCAATACAAGCCATTGGAATTAACCAACAAGATATTGAACGTACTGAGTAAAATGCAAAAATTTCTATCTTACAAAATCCACATTCTAGTTAGACATATCTATGTTAAAACTATTTGAAAGAATACGCACATGTATAATCACAAATACGAAAAATAAATTGAAGAATGTTGATGATAAAAAATAAAGTGAACATGGTTCACGACGTAAATTTGGTTGAGTAAATAAAAATCACACTAAATATAAGACCAATTGAACCTATTGCAAATGCTATAGATAATAAAACGAGTACAACTATTGATATTGCTGAGTTTATTTGACTGATTGTAACGGAGATCGATGACATAATATTATTTAAATGACGAGTTTTTCAATATGTTTTCGTGATAAAAATCTAAATGTAACAAATACAATAAAAGACTATTTAGAAGAACGACATATCGTCTAGATTTTTCATTTATAAATTTTCTTGTTTAGTTTATAAAGTAATAGGATAAGGATTGAAATGCAAAAAAGAATATCTGTTGTCTAATAAGAAATGGTGTCAAACAAATAATTTCTATATTATATCTTGGGTGTAAATATTAAAATGAAGAAAGAAAGAACGTATAAGATAACATTTAATTCGACTTTCAAAGAAAACATTAATGCACTGACGAATAACATAAGAAAAAAAAATGTCTTTGGGATGCATTCAACTAATTAACAAATGTTAGCGCAGATAGAACATGTCTAAAAAATAAAGTCTATATGAATTTTTACTTAAAAAAATTCAATTATATCTTTAATGATTATAATGCGAATTTGACATAAAATAAAAGTGCATAAAAATTAATTTTATTCGTTGAATCTCAATGGTATGGCTGGTACTTTACTTTTACTTTATAAAATAACGGTAAATAAATCCTTTATTCTCAAAAAATAAATGTAGATCAATCAGTTATCTTTTAAAAATAAAGGAAAAATAATGGAATAAATTATCCATTTTACGACGACAGATAATATAATTAGAAGAGTACTAGAATCATGAAATAAATCTGCAGAGAGATCATTAAGATTTGAAAGTGTAAGTTTGATTTAAAATATATTTCCTAAGATGAAATTCAAAACTAATAGAAATGAACGCTTTATTTCTAATTTTTTTAGGATACTAACAAAGAATAAAAATCTTTTTTTAACATTCGAATGTGATCCAAAGCTTTCTATGTGTGCAGACATCTTTGTGAAGCTTTATTTCAGAATCATAAAATGTCTCCATCGGATTGATTATCACTCAATCTTCATATTTTTAAATAGAATTTCTTTATAATTTTGAATTTCACTTCTAATTATCTATAACCTTATCCAATAGGCTCTGTATTTTGCTATCTTTCGCCAAAATAGGTAGTCAATAGAATTTAGAGAACGATTATTTCTAAATAAGAATCAAAGAGATGATATTATTGACACAAGGAGCAAATCTTTTTTCCAGTTACCAGAAAATATCTTAATGATACACACACGAACATAAGAAAGACAGACTTAAAATAAGAAAACGAAAACAGAAACAGAAACAGAAACAGAAAATAACACGCACATAAACTGTAATGAAGATAGTTTTTTGTATGATTTAATTCCAAGTGTATCCACATGAAAAACAGCTTCTCTTGGCATGCACTATTTGCCACTGATATATTTATTCTCTATTGTATATCGAAATGCAAATTTAACGTGATAATTTGGATAGAAAGTAGACTAGCTTAATAATAGTAAAAAGTTATGTTTTATTTCCAAAAATTTTCATATAAACTTCAAATTCAAATATAGTTCTCTAAGTGTTTAGAAAAAAAAGCTGAATTTATATTCACGAATCTAAGAAAAGCCAAGGTACATTGTGAAAATTAAAACGTTTCTAAAGAACAACTATCTACGGAGCAACTCATTTACTTTACAGTAGATAGGGCACGATACATATGTTAACTCTCCATGTCTATGTTTCATTGAAGAGTGTTTTATGAAATAAAGTATTAGATCATTGGAGAAAGTTCGCGAAAGATAATTTTTGAAGAATGTCAATTCTATGAGTATTGTTTGAATGATCGAAGACTTCAATTAAGAAAAGAAACTCTATAGCTAAAAACACATACAAGGAGTTGACTTTTGCATCCTTGTCTAAACACTAGGAAACAGGCAAATTGATCAAACCTATGAAAATAATTCGATTATTAAATCTTAATTGATGTTTTCTTCTATTCGTAGGTATGGGCTGGAATTTTCTTAAAGTATTTTCAAACAAAAAAACACGTAAAAATAGTGGAATATTGTAAGTCAAGATCGCTGTTTGCGATGAAAATATTCAAAACAGAGAAATTTGTTTCACATACGACTCATCCCGCTGGAATAACCCTGTATAA